GCATACAAGAAATCTAGGCCTCAACGTCCAGGGTGTGCCTGAAGCTGGTCGACTCCATCCCAAATCGCCTTGATGAAGTCCTGAATGCAATGGGTGGCTGGACCAAATACTAAGATGTGTATATTGGTGTATTGTTTGGATTTTAGTATTGTTTGTAAATACAATTAATATATATTAACTCACCTACAGTGTTATCTTAAATCCATGTCCTTATGATGTCTTAAACTATATCGCATGAAAATTCATAACAAAGTAACTTAACAGCCACAAATTATGTATTGTGTGGTATACAATGATCTGTATGACACGTCGTGGAATGTGTTGTCTTATAACACAATATAATTATATAGTTACAATTGCTACCATCATTGAAATGCTCATGATGTTCAGCACACAATATTAACGGTAACTGAGCACACTCCAAAATATATGAAGCTTGCATATTGTGGTGGGATGTTTAAACACTGAACTTGGAAGAATTGGAACAGTCACCTAGATTAAGTCTGAATACTATTTTACAATACTGGTAACTTTTCACTCCACTCATTTTAACATAAGTATATAATTATATAATATTGCATATTATCACAAATATTTATTAAGCAAAGGATGGGTGGAATATAAATAAATATTACCATAATATTTGTCGGAATAACAACAAATTGTGACGTGGTCGCTGACCAAGGCCCTTCACCCTGATCCTGCATATTTCACTTTTATCCTTACTATATTCCATTCTTTAAAGTATCATTGTGACCTGAGCGGCAATAAGCACCCAGGGCACTGCACCTGTTCCATGAATTTGTAACCATAAAGAACAGCTGTAAGACAAACGTAGTTAAAAAGGCAGCTTGAAATTATGGTGGTATAAATAATAAATAAACCTGCCTCCCATCCAGCCCCCACCTCCTCTATCCCCCCACACACACTACAGTGGGCGACATCTGTTGGCCAACCATAGCACTTTCCCCAGCTGTTTCGAAACTTCAGACTCAAGGCAATTCGAACCTCACTGTGGCTGGAGTGGGCACGACTTTGGTGCACGATAGTACAGTACAAGTACACAAACAGTACTAGTTCATATTCTGAGTTTATAGGCATAGTATACCACGTGAATCTTTAATCTCCACATACAATACACTCATAGTGCTTTTCATATTTGTTTGTTTTTATCAAACTACAGGTAGTCAAGGGGCGACTTAATTGAAGTTTATAAACAACTCAGAGAGCATTACTCAGTCGAGGGTTCATACCTAGAGCTGGGACGTGCCCTAACACCTAGCGCGGGGCGGGCGGTCACAGCTTATGGTTGAAGAAGCCACAAGTTCGAAAATTGTCAAGGCAAACTTTTTTTGAGTTTGTAAACCTTGGCTCACACTGCCAGAGAGTGCGACAGCACCGAGAGTGAGCTCATTCAAGACCAGACTTGACCAACATTGGCGCAGGTGCAGATACATTCTGGAGTCAGTTTTGCCCAGTACTTGCCAATGACGACAATGCAGCCTGTCTGGCATTGAGGATCTGTTTGGTGGGGTTCTGGCCAGCCAGATATTTGCCTCAGCCCAGCCAGCCATTCACCTAAGCCAGCCAGCCGTTCACTTCAGCTTGTCAGCCGTAAACCTCAAGCCAGCCTCAATGAGCCAAACAATCTAAAATAAATAACAAACCCTTCCCCTGCATCCACACACTTCCTCCCATCCACCCACCCTTCCTCCCACCCACCCTCCTCCCACCCTACCTCTCCATCCACACACCCTACCTCCAACCACACACCCTTTCCTCCCATCCACATACCCTACCTCCAATCCACCCAACCTTCCTCCCATCTACACACCCTAGAAAGAAAAATAAATTAATATTTGATGATTTTGATATTCTTCATGAGCAAAGAGCGAGTCATCAGTCGAACATTAACTCACGTCTCACGGCCTATGTACTCACCCCTGAAGATGTGAATTACACGAAAGCGCTTGGGAACGTCGTGTTTTCCTTTTCCTTGTGGTTATCAGCATATGAAACGATAACTTTCTGTTATGATTTTAAGTATTTTATTTTATTTACTCTATTTACTCTATCGCTATTTTTGTTGTTTACCTCGCTGAATCCCTCTTCAAGAGACGTTTCCTATAAATGATGGTGAACGCTTCCACGAATTCCTCCTTGCTATTGCTGATGTATATCAACCTCAATATTAATCTAAGTTGTTTAACACAAATTAACACGATAATGCATAGAACCTGACCTAACATACCCAACCTATGGGTATGTAAGGTCAGGTTCTATTAGGTTCTATGCATTGTCGTTTCCAGTTTTGTGTTTAATATCATGATATTACTCATATTAGTGAGTAGAAAAAATTAAACCAATACAGACAATTCATTCTGGTGGTACCCGTTATCTACATCTTTTAATTTATTTAGATTTATTATGGAAACATATACAGGATTTTCCTCCCAACGTGTAACTCTCCTTGGTGGATACTTAAATCCGGATCCCGATGCAGAACTCTTCCGGAGTCGGGGATCGTTCTCGTTCCTCACTCACCGATAGTAGCAGAAGGCATAGTTATGGCGACTTTTGTAGATAAAGTTAATTCTGGCCTTGTAAAGGCTGGTTTAAAGCCTGTAACAAGAGACAACGTATTATTTTATTATACACCTTTGAAAGGCTGTGCTGCATATGGCATATTGAGTGTACAAATGTTTAACCCAGAATTGTTTGAAAACTTCAGTTTCTTGTAAGTTACCAAATTTACAATTTTGGTAAACATTATTTGTTGTGAGATTAATAGTGTTCGTAATGAATAGCTACAGCTACTTTGTATTTAGGTCATTAATATGTGTTATTGGAGTTAAGGAGGCCGACGTGCTGGCTGTGAATTCAGACTATAAATGGACATGGCAGCTTCCTGTGTAGAATGTTTTGGGCGTAATAGTTTTCATCTTGATTACTTAATTTAACAGTCTAGACATGGATGCATTGTAATTTATTTGTGTTCCTGGTAAAATGGTAAATTTGTACACTTTGCCCATTGTGGTTTTGGACATGAAACTTTACGTTTTCCCGATTTGATGTTTTGAACGATTCTGACCATCATATAACAATCTTGGGGAACCCGTGAGAAATTGAGGTTTTTGGGTGGTGGGAGCAAAAACGAGTGATATGCTATATATATGACCAAAGTTGACTCGGTTTTCCCTTTTTAACAAGTAAAAAAAAAGCCAAAATTTGAAAACCCGACCCAAGTTTTGGCAAAAGTTGGCTCAGCTGACGTATAGATTATTGCTGCCAACGATTCTAGCAAGATCATAGTGCTTTTCCACCATAATTTTTTTTTGTTAATTGCAAGTGAGTGTGTTCTCTTTTGGGGAAATGTTTCTTTTTTATAATTTATACTATACAGCTACTCCCCGACTTAGGACCTACTTGGCTTACGACCACCCGGACATATGACCGCCTCAGTCGTACCAAAATTTTTGTCAAATTACGTATTTTCGAGACCCAACGTCAGTGAGTGCGCTGTGTACTGACAAAATGTTCGTTTGTAATTCACTTTAAAATGGCTGGCAAGCTTAAAAGTGAGAGTTTTGTGGTGCTGAGAAGAAAAAGAGACACCCATTTTAGATTTTCCATGTATTATTTAAGCATTTTCGACTTACGACCATTTCGACTTGCGACCTGGATTTGGGTCCCTAACCCCGTCGTAAGTCGGGGAGCAGCTGTGTTTATATATATATATATATATATATATATATATATATATATATATATATATATATATATATATATATATATATATATATATATATATATATATATATATATATATATATATATATACACACACACACAAGTTGGGTCCACATTTACGCGGTCAATTGAACCCGCGTTGTACCGCGTAAATGAAATAACAGAACATATGGGATTAATTGAAATAGAGACTGGGCCCACCCCCAAACTCCACTTTTTCTGACACAATACCTACGTTGTAGTAAAAATATCATCTTAATTTTATGATGGTATGCACACACACATTTACCGCATAAATGACAAAACGCGTAAGCGAAAACCGTGTAAAACTCAGACTCAATTGTGTGTATATATATATATATATATATATATATATATATATATATATATATATATATATATATATATATATATATATATATATATATATATATATATATATATATATATATATATATATATATATATATATATATATATATATATATATATATATATATATACAGGTATAAATAAAGGTGGAGGAAGTGCAACTTTCCTACTTTCGTTTTTCTGGTGTTTTTGTCCTGAACATGGTTCTCTATCGAGGTGGGACCTATTTAGATAAACACAGAAAACTGGCAATACCTTATATGAAAAATACACCCCAAAATAACAAGGATTTACTGCAATTTTGTTATTACAGTACAGTATCAGTTCGGCAAATTTGCCTTAGTAACGTTTCATACCTAAACAGTGTAGGAGTTTCTGCAGCGATGGAGATGATTTATTGTGGATAAGATAAAACCAACCAAACCTACCTAACCTGACATTACTTACTTACACAGTATATCCTAGGATGGAAGTGCAATAGTCTAGGTTAGTTTAGGTCAGGTAAGGTAAGATGGTTAGGGTGTTATTTTGTTATAATATTTAATGTCAACAGAAGGAGGAGAGTGAACATGGTATTCTCATCCAAGCGGCATGGACCTTATCTGCTCTTTACAAAAACAAAGGAAAACTGAATGTTTGAAAGATGAAATTCCTCCACCTTTTTGGGAATATTCTAGAGGTAAGAAATTATTTTTTTCTGGAAAATTGTCCTAAATTCGGCCTTTCTTTTGAGTTAGACGTCTAAAATATTATCATGATGTGGTTATTGAGATGAAGCAACAGGATTGCCAGCTTCTTCATCTCGCGATGGATATTTACGAATTTGGTCCAAAAACTGTTGGACAACTTTCTTCTTTTTGTATAACCCCTTGTAGCAATTAATGTTGTTGGTTATTAACTCATTACTTTCCTTTTTTATGAATACTGTACAGGGAATATTAGTGTGTTACTTTACATAAGGCTGATGTAGCTGTACACTACCATACATGTCTAAATTGAATACAAATTTCTTATTACCAAAATGGGGTTATAGCTGTATATTTTAATATCTCATGGTTTTGTAATTAAAAGAGTAATTAAGAAAATGTATAAAGAGTTTTTAATTTTTGTAGTTGGAGGGAATGTTCGTTTCCCATAGATAACCTCAATGTGGCTGTAGACCTGCACAGAGGATTTAAAATGCATCTCCGACATGTCAGACATCTGCATCCACAGCTGCCATGTTTGTTAGTGACTGAATTCAATTATCTAGGAAGTGTAATGATATCAACATTATGAACCTCGACCTATCAGAATGAATGCAGGACAAATAGTGGAAGTAAGTAAAAGTCTGTGACCAGACAAATAATCACCAGGCTTTTTAATGAAATGTACTAGGGGGAAATAATACTGTGTTTAATTTATGTAAGCCTTGTGTGACTGTAGTGGAAGAAATACTGTATAATAGTGTTAAAAGAACTGCCCCTCACTGCCCCCACACTACCTACCTTCACTGCTTCTACATTACCTTCAGAGGCCCTTTGTAATCAAAACTAAGCACTTATTTAAATAAATGAACACTTATTTTGTTTTACAGGTTGATATTACTTATTTTTTCATGACATCTGTTAATTTGCCATTTATTTATGTGGTAGGCTTTTGTGCTTTGAAATTTGCAATAATTTGCTTCAATATGCTCTCTGCAATTCTGTGATGAAAAAGAAACCAGCTCTGAACTTTGTTTTTAGCAGGTTTGCACCTCTGAACATTGCCAAACTTAAATCCATTCCAGTTAAAAATCAGATAGTTCAATGATGCTTTGTTTTCATTTGCCAGAACATGTGGAGGCTGTACCTTACTTGTCTCTTTATTCAAAGCAATTGTGATAGGAATAACTCTCACATCTTGAAATGAATTCTACTATGTGAGAGAAATGTTTAAGTACAGTATGTACTTTGTTGCAAATTGATTAATAAGCATGCACCTCATCACACAATGCCATTGGTCTAGATCACATTAGTAGCTCAGTATAATGTAAATGATAAGTCAATTTCCACAATTCAACTACTCTATGGTGCATGCAACTTGCACATGACAAGGGATTTTTGTTGAACCACAGAGCATGGTTTCAGATTTTTTCCCTTGAAGACCATTGCCATGCTTTTCTTCCACCTCCGAAGTTTTAACCCAGATCCTAATCTACAGCTCTATGATCACTGTGAGCAGTGTGTCAGAGAGACCTGTTTCCTGGGCATTATCTTAGACAACCGGCTTACATGGCAGTCACATATCAATACCTCTAAGAGTCTTGCCAGCGTGCTTTCAAGTTATTGAGAGTCTTGGGGCACACGTTGTGGGGGTGCTGATCGAGGAATTCTGCTACACCTTTTCCACTTGCTACCTAGACCCAAACTGGATTATGGGTGTGAGGTGTACTCCTCAACCACTGAAGCTAGGCTCAACACACTGAACTCTATTCATCATGCTGGGGTGTGCCTGGTGACAGGTACCTTCAGGTCCTCGGCAATCCCAAGTCTACTGGTGGATGTTGATGAAGGCACCTCTGAACACAAAAATGGAAGTTTGGTGAGGTTAGGTAAGGGTTAGGTCAGGTTCTGTACATTCTCACTTTCATTTTCGTGTTCAGGATCATGATATTAGTCTCTCCCCAAATTTTGGTTCAATTCTATTATTTTTTCTGGTGTTGACAAAATAATCTATACTTTTGTTGATGCACATTACTGTCTATACAAGGTGCCCTCTTGAGTGTAGAGGAACCTCTGAGAATGTTACACTGGCAGCCTGAATATGTCTGGACTAGGGGTTGGACAAGTGATTTTTCATGACTGTGTGCCTGGTAGACAAGCAAACATTTTGAGAGGAAAATACCCAGATGGAAATTTGTCAAGTGCTTCATGACACCACCTCCCGGTATATGTTTGACCAGTGAGGTCTATCAATCAGTGAGGTGATGGGAAGGGGGTTGTGTGCTTGACTAGATGCCATATTGTAACATCACAGCTGAGTTGATCCCTGACCTGACAAGAAAGCCCAGGTGCATGCTATAGCCTCAGTGATGTCATAACTGATCTCTTCTAGTGTTGTTGGCCTGTTCTAGCAATGATTTGACCCGAAATACCTGTGTAAAAACTCCTACTGATTGTTGTGTAAGCAGAGTTGTGCTGTAACTTGAAGCAAAAACATCAACATGAATAAGTAACAAGGAATGTTGATTGGATAAGTGTAAAGGGTATTTAAATTGCTTATTTAACTTTTCCCATAAAAGAACCTGGCAAGCAAATATCCTCCAAAATTTGCTAAGGCAAATAAAAGAAAAAATATCCAGGCAAGTAAATTTCATAAATCACTTGTGTTAGACAAATAAATGTTCCATATGATTTTCTCATCCTGCTTTCCAGGGTGACAGATCCAACAGATAGTGGTTGATAATATGGAAGAAGA